CCCCCCCCCCCCCCCCCCCCCAGCTTTTGGCTCTTTTTCTTTCTTCTGCAACCTCCTTTTCCAGTTTTCTCCTCCTAGACCATATTTTCTTATTTTCTCCCTGAATTCAGTCACCCCCAAGAGCCTTCCTTTCTCTTTATCAGCCAAGTTGGAAGAAAAGTTTCCTGCTGGAGGAATGCCTTCTTCTACCGACTTATACAAGTTCTGAGCCAAAATAGGGTGCCCTTCTTCTTGGGTCCCTGGTACAGTTGAAACGTCCCTGTTGCTTCTAGATTTCACTAAGTACTAGATCTCAAAGCTATTGCCCTTCTTTCCTCGCCCTTGTTCCTCTTCCTGGACACCACAGATTTAGCTAACGTGGTACACTTTCTCAGAACATAGAATGCCTCTTCGTATTATTGAATCCCACCCAACTGCACCCCCATGTTTGCTTGCCCAGGGGTTGCCTCCTCCTTATTGATTCATTCCCCCATCCTCAGCCCACTCCTAGTCTGCTGTGCACTCTCAGACCCTCATTCTTCCTCTCAGATGCTGATGGGAGAGCCCCAGAGGAACCGAGGAACAGGGGACAGGAGGGGACTGTGGAGAGAGGGAAGGAAGTTGTCAAGATCGTCTTGACTTGGGGGTGTCACTATGAAGCTAAGGAGAAACAGTAGTTGATTTCCCTGCTTCTCTTCCTCTCCCTCAGATTCTTAGCTTGAACGTCTGCAGCAGCACTTCTTGACGATAGTCTCTGGCAGGCCTGTTTCACTGCAGATCTCTCTGCTGGAGACTCCTGAAATGAGGTTTCTGTCTCATTTACTCCCTCATTTCTTCCCATTTTCACTGAGTTGGGTGTGTATGAGGGCACTTGCTTGCAACTCTTCTCAGAGTATCCTTTGACTGGAAAACTAGGTGATTTTGAATGAATGTTTCTCTTGTAAGACCACTGGGGAAGAACTGGTGAATTAAATATATGATATAAATGAATGAGAAAAGCACAGAAAAGAAATCATGCTTTTAAAAAGCCTACACTAATTTCATTGAGCAAACCCAGCTTCTTTTCTATCATTCTCATTGTCAAAAATAAATTAAGTTCTCATGCTCCACTGGTTACTAATGTCTAGTATTAATTGAATGGAAAGCATTGAAAAAAGCCCATTGTTGAGCTACAAGTATCTCCCATGCTTGTCCCAACAGACACACACACATACTCCCACACACCTCTGATACTCTCATGCAGCAAGGATATTCAGAGGCTTAGCAGTCATTGCACAGAAAACATACTGGTATGTGACCCCCAAGAAAAACAGAGTATGGATGCATATTTCAGCTTTAGCATTAGTGGCATTAGCACTTAAAATGACCCTTTTGTGTTCAATGCTGGAATTTGTATAGTACATAGTGAGAAGCAGGGTCTGATGAGTTTGATAGTGCATTCAGTAAACTGAGATGGGGGAGACACACTGTTGACCTACCAAAGATACTTTTGTAAAGAATAGCTGGGCTTTAACATCATGATGTTTTCTGTGGTTTATACATGCAACATTCTCTTTTAGTGCCCAATGTCTTTGTAATTAAAAATAAAATAAAATAAAAAATAAAGACCTCTCTGGAAATGCAAATTCTCTTCCACTTTCATGTCTATGATCATCTCTGGAGTTCCCCATCACCACTTGTCCAATGATCATCGATCTCAGCAGACTATATTACCTGCTGTCAGGCGTTTGTGACAGGAAAAATAAAAGGGTGCTTTCTATAGCCACAAACCTGCTTACAATAAACAAGTGGGTTGCATGAAGCTATCAGTTGGTGTCTCTAACGAGTCACACACTTAGTGTATTTGAAGAATATACACCAGTCAAGCCTTAGATAAGGAGTTGAAGCTGCTGAGTGGGGGAGTTTTATGTAAAAAAAAAAAAAGTGTGTTCCAAGAGCTGTTCTGCTACTGGCTGTAAGGAAACACTGTGGCATCCCAAGTCTTCTCTCAGCAGTGCAGTCCATTTGGCAGCTGGACCAAGCCCTTATGCATCATTTGACACTTCTAGCAATGCTGGTTTCATGAAGAGCCAGGATTCTGCCATTAAAAGGCTAGAAATTTTGGCCAAGTATTTTTCAGCAGGATTGGGATCAAATGATTATTGATGGGATCAAATAGGACACTAAGTGTAACTGGATGAGCTCCTTGTGACCTCCAGAGAGACAGACAACTTATTGAAAAGCACTTCAGGCCTTATGGTGATCACACTTGGAACTGGCTGGTGTCTCCTGTCTCTGAGGACATATGTTGTCTGCATTTAGGCAGCTGGCCATGCAGAACTAGCCTCTTGCTTTACCACTGCCTCTCAGGCTCATTCAGATACAGTCTCCACTGTAGACCTCCCTATCAAGTGGACACACCCTGATATATCATATTCTGTGTTTGAGGCAACATATATCATTGGGTTCTATTCATTTTCTCATAAGAAAATTCAAGCTCAGGTTCTGCCACTTGTATTGATTTTGCTATTTATCATGTTTGGGGAAATGGGTTTATTCTTTTTATATAGGCTCTGATTTATAGAAAAGGCATTTAACTCTTCCATGACATGGGATCTTCAATTATACAAAGGAAATGTAGGCACAACTCAGTTTATTTCTTCCTGTTTCTGCCCAAGTGACTGGTGGTCTGGTCTGGAGATACACAGTCATTCTGATGGGGCTATTTGTGGAGAGAAAAAAACAGGGATGGTTGTTCTGCCACCTCTCCTGGTGAGGGGCCTGGAGCAGCCCATTTGTCTTAGACTGAAGATAGCTTCCTAAACCTGAGCAGGACCATGAGAAGGAATGTGGTAAAAATGGAAAAGCATGCAGTTAGGACAAAGCAAAACTTCTATATTGCTTGCAGTTTGGGAAGTTGAGAGGACAAAAGGATGTCTGAGAAACCTCATAATGCATGACATGCTAATGATTTTTCTTTGTGCATTGCTGTGAATTCATAACTCGGATCAGTATTTCAGAGTAGGAGAGAGTTTCCCAGAGCACCCATTCATGGAGAAGAGGAAGACAGGCAGGACAGTATGAATGGTGATGTACCATCCTGAGACAGCCTAAATCACAGAAAAGATGTTTGCCTGGAGGTTAGCACATTGCCCACAGCTCAATTGGGATCTTGTTCTGTAGGTGTTTTGAGATCTACACTGCGATTCCCCAGGCTGACGTCTAGAGGATAATGACTGTGGATAGGAGTGCCTATTTCCCTGCAAGAACCCACTTCCTACTCTGGGAAAGGGGATCCATGACTTGGGAATTTATATGTACTATGGAGAGGTCTGAGCAATTCAGAGAAGATGTATGCAATGCAATACAGCTGACCCTTGGCCTTACATATTTGTCAGTCCCTTCCCATTTCACTTCTGGAGAGGGCAGAGAGAGGAAAGGAAGACAGAGAGGAAGATGAGCTCCCAGAAGGGATATCAGTTATTAGAGGTGGATTGGGATAGTTGGAACTAGTCCAGAGAAGAGCAGAGAGCTGATTTAAGAGTTGATCAGACTGATTTATGATGAAAGATGAAAAGAGTTAAATATATATGGCTGGGCTAAGTGGTGATAAAGGGAAAGCCATGGTAACAATCTACAAATCTCTGAAGAGAGAAAGTGGCAGTGAAGGAGAGGAGTTACTTAGTGTGACAAATAGAATAGGATGAGACTTACAGAAGGAAACTTCAGGTTGGATATCAGGGAAACCTTATTTTCTGAAACTGATATTCCTCTGACCATGGAATGGAATTCTAAGGGAGTAGAGAATCAGGTGAGATGTGGGTCAGACAAACCACAGCATTCATAATTAATCAGTTCTATATTTTCAAATGTTGAGATGCTGCAACAGGCAGGAGAGCTGTGATGGGGAACAGCAGCAG